TCTCCTCAGCAAGGAATTAAACTCCCCTTTTTGTGTACGTTTCCCGCGGGTTAAACTCCCTCAGGGAGAGATTTAATAACTGGCCAGAATTTTCGCGGCAGAACCCTGGGGGAAATATTTGGTGGGAAAGTGCGGGAAAAGGTTTCGTGAGTGCGAGTGCGCGCCAGCGAATGCGCAGGTGCGCTAGTTCGCGTGACGCAACTCATCTGCGCCTGGAATCACTACTCCACAGCCATTCTCCTGCACTTATTAATTTGGCGCCCGGACAGCATAAAAAATGAAGGCTTAGGTGTGAGGGCGGGAAGGGAGGTGCCAGGAAGAGCGGGAAGGGAGGTGCCAGGGAGAGCGGGAAGGGAGGTGCCAGGGAGAGCGGGAAGGGAGATGCCAGGGAGAGCGGGAAGGGAGGTGCCAGGGAGAGCGGGAAGGGAGGTGCCAGGGAGAGCGGGAAGGGAGATGCCAGGGAGAGCGGGAAGGGAGGTGCCAGGAGAGCGGGAAGGGAGTGCCAGGAGAGCGGGAAGGGAGATGCCAGGGAGAGGGGGGAGGGAGGTGCCAGGGAGAGCGGGAAGGGAGGTGCCATGGAGAGCGGGAAGGGAGGTGCCAGGGAGAGCGGGAAGGGAGATGCCAGGGAGAGCGGGAAGGGAGGTGCCATGGAGAGCGGGAAGGGAGGTGCCAGGGAGAGCGGGAAGGGAGGTGCCAGGGAGAGCGGGAAGGGAGATGCCAGTGAGAGCGGAAAGGGAGGTGCCAGGGAGAGCGGGAAGGGAGATGCCAGGGAGAGCGGGAAGGGAGGTGCCAGGGAAGGCGGGAAGGGAGATGCCAGGGAGAGCGGGAAGGGAGGTGCCAGAGAGAGCGGGAAGGGAGGTGCCAGAGAGAGCAGGAAGGGGGGTGCCAGGGAGGGCGGGAAGGGAGGTGCCAGTGAGAGCGGGAAGGGAGGTGCCAGGGAGAGCGGGAAGGGAGGTGCCAGGGAGGGCAGGAAGGGAGATGCCAGGGGGAGCGGGAAGGGAGGTGCCAGGGAGAGCGGGAAGGGGGGTGCCAGGGAGAGCGGGAAGGGAGGTACCAGGTACTATCATCTTCACTGTTACGTCTATAAACGTCCTGGAGTGAGGCCTCAGGTGCGTATGTAAACAACCCGCATTAAGTAACGTTAACAAGAGCCACGTACTGCGACCTCTACTCAAATTTTCGTTGCTCAGGGACAAGAGCTAGAGCTATCACCAGGACTGGCAGCAGCGCCGCCGCAGACCGTGGCTCCCCCGGAACACTGCTCACTGAAGCTCTTCAGCTGTCCTGTATTGTGACCACAACAGGAACACCAGCCTAGATACATCTGATTGGTGGTGACGCAGGTAACGTTAAGTGACGCAGGTAACGTTAAGCGACGCAGGTAACGTTAAGTGACGCGGGTAACGTTAAGTGACGCAGGTAACATTAAAATATCTATGTTGTACGTCGTTCCTGTTGATCTTCTCAATGTTCTCATCGCATTAATAATTACATTCGTATCGGTAATACGTCAATTATATTAAATTATTATTATATTGAATTATTATTATTGCTGTTCTTGTATTATTATTATTACTATTATTGTTAGTTGTCGTTATTATTATTATTATCGGAGTTCTTGCGTCAGCGCCATCATCATTGTGACAACCAAGTCTAATATAATAATCCGTGAGGTAAAGACACGAACAAATAAGCAAACACAGTACTAAGATATTTGGAATTATCTGGTTAGTATTTTAATTTGTATTCCCTTATTGTCGCTTATTATTATTATTTTTGTTATTATTATTATTATTATTGTTATTATTTGTGGAAATTAATTTTTTGCCTGATGGTGAACATGTGTCGTGCAGCCTTAATAATTATTTTCGTGTTTATTGGTCGATTCATAGCTTCTGGCTCTGTCTGGTAATTTTTATAGACTGGCTTTACTACTGATTCCTGGCCTCATGGGTCCAGTCATGCTTGCTCTTGAAACTGTGTAATATATCTGCCTCCACCGGAAAAACAAGGCCTTCGTAATGTCCCTTTGCTAACTGAATTAACTGGTTCTCTCTCGTATCTCAAAAATCTAATCTCCTGGGTAGTTTGAATATCGTGATTACGTTTTTCCAAAGATTTTTCCTTTTGGTGGTGGCAAGTTAAGTTCCCAAATTCTCTCATCGTGGTTAGTCTCCCTCAGTTCGAAACCAGTTTCCTTGTCAAATTTTTTATTGTGTTTGATCAGATGTGGTGTTCCTGCCTGCTCTTCATGCTTCAGTTAGTCGAAGTCAAGTCAGAGTTTATTCCCAAATGATGCAACGTTCACACAGAAATTGGTGACATTTGAAAGCATGTTGGCTGTCTAAAGTTGCATTTATATAATCTTGATATACTTCTAAGCAGTTCTTTTACACACACACAAACATACAAGCTCTTGGAGCAGGGAGAGTGGACCTAGTAACTAGTGAAGAGGTGGAGCCAGGAGCTACGAATCGACCCCTGCAATCACAAATAGGTGAGTACACACATACCGATATTGCCAAAGGATATTCGCCACGGTCCTTCGTAGGAGACCAATATACAAACCAGAAAATCCTGCTGGAGTGACTTCGAGGGCCCTCCAACGGATACGAAAATGCCTGAGTAGTAACAAACGGCAGAGAGCCACAGCGAGAGAGGTAGGAGAGAAAGGATATCAGTAGCAAGTGGAGTATCACAAGGTACACTTTTTGCGCTCATTCTGTTCCTGAAACATATAAATGGAGACACTCAAGTGTTACATAAGTATCTCAGTTGTTAGTTTTCTAAACCATTTGTATATTAAAACGTGAAAATGACTTCTCGGAGAAATAAGACCCCAATATGACAGTGTTTGAAGACAAAAAACTGAAATGTGATAAAGACTTGAACAAGCAACGGGGATGGTCCAAGATATGGCTATTGGAATTCAACACCAGCGAAAGAAAGATTATGTGGATGAAATCAAGAGGTAGGAGGTCTGAGGAGTGTTATCTGAGAGGCCAGAGACAGTACCATCTGAGAGGGAGGCCAGAGAAAGAGTACAACCTGAGAGGAAAGCGGCTTTTAATATCGGAGGGAGGAGAACCCAGAGGTTAGACATGGCACTATTTTGTGGTCGGAGATGCCAATAACAATGAAATCAAACCTCATAATATGAAACCCTCTATCAAACACCATACACGGCTTCAAGAATAGATTTGACCAGGCTCTGGAGGCCCCGGAAATCAGTATAGTAGCTAGGAGCTCAAGAGGCCGCCCCAGGAGCTGTAAATTGATCCCTGTAAGCAGAGCAAAACTAATTAGAGCTAAACACTAGAAAAAAAACTAGAACTTTGAGAACTTTAATTCAGAAATAAGTATTTATTATTATTATTATTATTATTATTATTATTATTATTATTTATTATTATTACTGTAGTGGCAGTAATTGCATTTTCACTATTTTCAATGTTTACTATTTTTTATTCCATAGGTACGCGCTAAACCTGTACGGGTGATCCAGTCCTAGTAGCACCTTGCAGCGTCGTCAGAACAAGGAACAAACAACCGCAAGTAACTAAGCTAAAGTGACATTACTAAGTAACAAAGTATCATTACGTGACATATCAAACATTACATAACATAGCAAGGTAACATAACGTGACATAACGTAACTTAAGGTGACATAACGTAGCTTAACGTGACGAAGAACTTTATGGATGTGAAGATGGCGAAGACATCAGATGTACAAGAGAGAGAGAGAGATGGTGTGGAGGTCAGTTCAGTATGTACCTGGCTTACCTGAATGGCCCATACGGATTTACAGCTTCTTTTTTTTAATATATATAATTAATAATGTAGGGATTCAAAATTACATATGACAGAGCCCGAGAAGCCACATATACATAAACACACACACACACACACACACACACACACACACACACACACACACACACACACACACACACACATTTTATATATATATATATATATATATATATATATATATAATATATATATATATATATATATATATATATATATATATATATATATATATATGTGTGTGTGTGTGTGTATGTATATTATATATATATATATATATATATATATATATATATATATATATATATATTATATATATATATATATATATATATATATATATATATAATGTGCCGAATAGGTAAAACTTGCGATTTTGGCTTTAAAAGCATCGCAAAAATCATTCTGAACCTAACGAAAAAAATATGTATTTCATTGTGTTTGTTTATAATTAAATTATTGTAAACTTATCTAAAATATATTTAGTTGGCTTAGGCTATATTAAATTGCGCTTGTTATAATAAGGTTAGGTAAGTTTTCTAAGGTTCTTTTGGTACAAAATTAGTAATTTTTACATTAACATAAATGAAAAAATATATCTTTAAAAGTAAAAGAGAATTTTTTTAGAAAGGACTTAATTTTAAATGAGTTCTTGCTAATTGACCAGTAAACAGGTAATATCAGAATATCCAAAACATATGGAATTTCACTATTCTTTCACAGTGGTTGTTTTGCATGCATAATATATATATATATATATATATATATATATATATATATATATATATATATATATATATATATATATATATTAAGTGTGTGTATGTGAAATCAGATAATCTGGCGATTACAGCTGTGCAAAAAAAAAAAAACTCACTGAGCTTAAGAATAAGTGAATAGAAGTGTCTGAGTGCTTTTGTGTTTACATGCATTCTTAGAGGCACTAATTCCTCCGGACGCTAAACACACCATCGTCACTCGTGATGTCGATGGAGTCTTGTGTCTAGTCTAACATTCTGCAACAGTAAACACAACATTGGAGGTGTCACAGGGGTATTGTTCAGTGTAAACACAGCAGTGGTGGGCCTGGACTAACACTGTGGCAGCTACTTAGAAGCGTAAACAATTATTATTTAATATTCATTGCGTGCTTAGGCGCTCACCGTGGCGCGAGAGAATGTGTTGGCTGCCTTCTTCATCGACCTCTTCGTCGACGTCAAGAAGTCGTGGATGGTCATGGTGAGTGTGCTGCCCCTCCGTCTGCTCCTTCTGCCGGAGTATATCTCCGATCATGAAGGATGATGGGGCCCTTCCCAGCTGTTGGAATCCCAGGGGAAGGGCCGTTAGGGCCGGTGGAGTGAGCTGCTTCAGGCATCCTTGTTTGCTCGTGGGTAAAGGGGCCCTTTCTGGTGGCCGGGGCACCCGCAGGTCCGTGGGTTGGTCCTGTGGCATGGGCGAGGGGGCGGGGGACGCGCCCCCTCCACCTTCCATGTTGGTCATGGGCACAGGAATCGCCTGTGACCTGCTATGACCACTACCTGGCCAATACCCACACCTGAGTCACCTCTCTCACTGATCTGCTGAAGTGTTACTTTATATCTTCACTAGTCATAACAGTATCCAATCTGGTTATCACGTCGGACCCTGACTAGTTATAACACTGGATCCACTCCAGTTATTACATTGAATTCACTGGTTATCACGTAGGATTTCCATTGGAACCTCTCCATTTATCACATACGAACCTTTCCAGTTATTACGTGGGATCCAACACAAGTTATCACGGATAAATACTCTTCGGTTCACTAAATCTCAGATCCGACAGATGCCACAGAACACCGGTTTTTACTTTGTCACGGGTTACTAATGCGGCTTGTATGTGTGCACCGAGCACCACTACCACGTGTCTTGTGTTGTGGCAGCGACTACGTTAACACCAGCGTCGCGGTCGCCCTGCTCCAGCAGACCCTCCCGCGCCGCGCTCAAGGTGCAAACTGGCAGCCAGCTGAGGTAATAATAGAATAATAATGACAAACGGCTCGCTACCAAGTGTAATTCGTATGTATCATTGATGGCGTGAGCGGGTGGCGTCGGCGACGAGCTGAGAAGGAGGGTGCGACACACTGAGGGAAGGGTGCTCTGGTAGCAGGCGGGGACACCCTTGCTTCAGCACCCGCCCCATATCCCCCCTCCTCCAACACCCGCCCCTCTCTCTCTCCCCTACTCCAACATCACTACACCACCACCACCGTCTTCCTCCTCCTCCACTCCTCCTTCCAGTCTTTATTTCCTCAGTTTTTACATAAAGAAGTAGCTGAAATCGTCCTCATTTAATATATTTCTTTGATGTGGGTCACTGGACGAGTTGGTTTATATCGTCCTGGAGATTTCCATTGTCCTCAGTAGGTGCCACTCCCATACTCCTCTTCCAATACCACCTCTTCCTCTTCATCCACCCTCTTCTCTTTCGTCTTATTTCTTCGCTTCATTCATCCACTTTCTCCTTTGTACTTTTCGCTCTTGCTTCTTTCACATCTTCTATCTTTTGCAGCCCTTACCCTTCGTTTCTCTTATTGTCTGTTCCTTATCACTAATACTTTCAGTTCTTCCTTCTTCGCTATTTTGCTTATGCCTGTTATTCACTTCTAAACCTTCATCATATTGTATCTGTTTTATCCACCAGCTCTGCATTATTCCCCAGTTACATTCTATCAAGCAATTCTATTCTATCCACTAAGTCTATTCTCTACGCCAACTCAATTATCCATCTCTCTGTGTAAGAGAGTTGTCGACCCCTCTACTCTATCCACTAGTTTTATTCTGTCGACCAGAAAACTGCCGATTAAGCTGGACGAAATAAAGCTAAATTAACATCCGTTTAACCTTGAAATCCTGCATATAAAATACCCATAAAAATATATCATGCAGATTTTTGGGTTTCTGGAGTCTTAGGGCGGCGGGGTGTGACGGGGAGATCAATACCACCCAATACCAGTCACTTTTCAATGCTAGATTCGAGTGAGCAGCTTCCACACCAGGCTGGTAGTGTGGCCTCGCACCTCATGCTCTCTTGGCTTTACGTCTTGTAAAGTTTAGTGTACAAGTTGAAACCTGTTGTCTTACACAGGTCACAATTTATAGGCTATGAGTTATCCTACCTGAGCTTCCAGTTTTAAAAGATAAGGTCTGTCGTCCTACCTCAGCTCACAGTGGAGCTGTTATCCTTCAAGGAGATATGTGCGTATGTACATGCGTTGTATACATGTTATATGTGTGACTGCGTACATGTGGGTTGATTACGAAATTTCGTAAATATATACATAAGCCGAGCTTTTGTCTCTCTTTCGTTATCATTTTCTTGTACATAATCTTTTCTCACTGAGGTTGTTGCCCACAGTAGCTGAGTAATACCCAGGTATCTACTTACTGCTGGGTGATCAGGGGCAGGGGGTGTAAGGTTACTAACACCCAGGTACCTACTTACTGCTGGGTGATCAGGGGCTGGGGGTGTAAGGTTACTAACACCCAGGTACGTACTTACTGCTGGGTGATCAGGGGCAGGGGGTGTAAGGTTACTAACACCTAGGTACCTACTTACTGCTGGGGGATCAGGGGCTGGGGGTGTAAGGTTACTAACACCCAGGTACCTACTTACTACTGGGTGATCAGGGGCAGGGGGTGTAAGGTTACTAACACCCAGGTACCTACTTACTGCTGGGTGATCAGGGGCTAGGGGTGTAAGGTTACTAACACCCAGGTACCTACTTACTGCTGGGTGATCAGGGGCAGGGGGTGTAAGGTTACTAACACCTAGGTACCTACTTACTGCTGGGGGATCAGGGGCTGGGGGTGTAAGGTGACTAACACCCAGGTACCTACTTACTGTTGGGTGATCAGGGGCAGGGGGTGTAAGGTTACTAACACCCAGGTACCTACTTACTGCTGGGTGATCAGGGGCTGGGGGTGTAAGGTGACTAACTCCCAAGTACCTACTTACTGCTGGGTGATCAGGGGCTAGGGGTGTAAGGTGACTAACACCCAGGTACCTACTTACTGTTGGGTGATCCGGCGCAGCAGCAGGTGTAAGAAGACTTGCCCTGTACGTCTTGCTTTCCCTGGGCATTTTACCGAAATGTGTTTTTGCATGTATTTATTATTATTATTATTATTATTATTATTATTATTATTATTATTATTCACATTGCTCTTTTCAGTAGTATAAGTATTGAAAATGGTGCTTCCTGTAGTCATTACCCTCCCGTCTCTCTCTCTCTCTCTCTCTCTCTCTCTCTCTCTCTCTCTCTCTCTCTCTCTCTCTCTCTCTCTCTCTCTCTCGACCACAACACGACTGTTCCAAACACACACCCAATAACAACATCTTCGTGAGTCCATAGGAAACAGTAAGTCGTGTCTGATATTATATTAACCAGGATAATCTGCCACTCATCCTATTGGTTGTCACACTATACAATCAGATGACTGTACCTGCCCGTGTGTTTTGTAGTTGTGTGTGTGTGTGTGTGTGCTGTTACCTGCTTTGGTTCTTATTTGCGGTTGTAGTGGTCGAGTCTCAGCTCCTGGTTCTGCTTCTTAAACTGACTACTAATGGGCTCACACACTCCTGGATTCGAGAGCCATATCATACCTATTCTTAAAACCGTGTATAAATCTTGCCTCCGTTGTCCAGGTAACTCCCTTTCTTAACCACTCAAAGATTCAAGAAATGCATTATGGCTGACAAGCTCTCTCTAACTTCCAACTGTGCCCTCGTGTACCTATTTCCCGCCTCTCGAACAGCTTATTCCTGTCCACCACAGTAATTCCTACGAGTATTTTGTACGTCGTTATCATGTGTACGAGGGCCTCTTGTCCTCTAACATCATCATGTTCAACTGTAGTCTCTCCTTATAGATTACATCTTAACTCTGGGACTAGTCTAGCTGCAAACCTTTGTACTTTTTCCAGTTTCGATATAACTCGCATAAAATACCGATACGATAGAAAAACAGACACAAATCCAGAATAATGCGTTTCGCCCACACAGTGGTCTGGGACCGAAGTTAGAAGTGACCGAGGTCCCAGGACCGAAAAGTTTTCTAATATGTCCTAGTGTTTGCTCACCTGTTTGTCTAAACCAATTTGTGGGTATCCATTACCAAGCTTCATACCGCACAGGAAGCATAATGACCTGAAGGATCAAGAGAGGAATTCTTAGAAGAGGTTCCAGTCTCTTGATATCTTTGATCAAATGTGAGAGGTGGGCGTGTCTTCCCAGGTCCAGCAAGGGCCCGGAGCCACTCTCGACTCTTCAGGTCTCCTAACTATAAACATATATTTTGCTCCAATTTCCTGTTTATTGGATTGATAAAAACACTTTCTGGCGACACCACACCATAATAAAGTCACCCAAGTGTTGAGTAAGTGTCTCACTCGTCTGCTGGTGAGGTTTCTTAACTATGTGTATAATGTATAGAATATTTGCAAATGAGACATCAAATGAGACATAATTTGAATATTTTACCAACTTACTATATTGTTTTTTTATGACCTCTGTGAAGTCACAGAAATGTATAGAAAATCTGTCTCTCGTGAAGTGTTACAGATGATGTTCAGCATAGTTTGCCCTTCCAGACGTTCTTATCTCATGCTGAAGATGTGATGATTCTTCACCTGATGCCACAGATGGAAGGGGCCTTCACCTTCCTCAACAGATGGAAGGGACGTTCACCCTCCTCAACAGATGGAAGGGGCCTTCACCTTCCTCAACAGATGGAAGGAGCCTTCACCTTCCTCAACTGATGGAAGGGGTGTTCACCTTCCTCAACTGATGGAAGGAGCCTTCACCTTCCTCAACTGATGGAAGGGGTGTTCACCTTCCTCAACAGATGGAAGGAGCCTTCACCTTCCTCAACTGATGGAAGGGGTGTTCACCTTCCTCAACAGATGGAAGGGGCGTTCACCTTCCTCAACAGATGGAAGGGGTGTTCACCTTCCTCAACAGATGGAAGGGGCGTTCACCTTCCTCAACAGATGGAAGGGGCGTTCACCTTCCTCAACAGATGGAAGGGGCGTTCACCTTCCTCAACAGATGGAAGGGGTGTTCACCTTCCTCAACAGATGGAAGGGGCCTTCACCTTCCTCAACAGATGGAAGGGGTGTTCACCTTCCTCAACTGATGGAAGGAGCCTTCACCTTCCTCAACTGATGGAAGGGGTGTTCACCTTCCTCAACAGATGGAAGGAGCCTTCACCTTCCTCAACTGATGGAAGGGGTGTTCACCTTCCTCAACAGATGGAAGGGGCGTTCACCTTCCTCAACAGATGGAAGGAGCCTTCACCTTCCTCAACAGATGGAAGGGGCCTTCACCTTCCTCAACTGATGGAAGGGGCGTTCACCTTCCTCAACAGATGGAAGGAGCCTTCACCTTCCTCAACAGATGGAAGGAGCCTTCACCTTCCTCAACAGATGGAAGGAGCCTTCACCTTCCTCAACAGATGGAAGGGCCTTCACCTTCCTCAACAGATGGAAGGAGCCTTCACCTTCCTCAACAGATGGAAGGAGCCTTCACCTTCCTCAACAGATGGAAGGGGTCTTCACCTTCCTCAACAGATGGAAGGGGTCTTCACCTTCCTCAACAGATGGAAGGAGCCTTCACCTTCCTCAACAGATGGAAGGGTCTTCACCTTCCTCAACAGATGGAAGGGTCTTCACCTTCCTCAACAGATGGAAGGGTCTTCACCTTCCTCAACAGATGGAAGGGGTCTTCACCTTCCTCAACAAATGGAAGGGGTCTTCACCTTCCTCAACAGATGGAAGGGGTCTTCACCTTCCTCAACAGATGGAAGGGGTCTTCACCTTCCTCAACAGATGGAGGGCCTTCACCTTCCTCAACAGATGGAAGGGGTCTTCACCTTCCTCAACAGATGGAAGGGGTCTTCACCTTCCTCAACAGATGGGAGGGGCCTTCACCTTCCTCAACAGATGGAAGGGGTCTTCACCTTCCTCAACAGATGGAAGGGGTCTTCACCTTCCTCAACAGATGGAAGGGGCGTTCACCTTCCTCAACAGATGGAAGGAGCCTTCACCTTCCTCAACAGATGGAAGGGGCCTTCACCTTCCTCAACAGATGGAAGGAGCCTTCACCTTCCTCAACAGATGGAAGGAGCCTTCACCTTCCTCAACAGATGGAAGGAGCCTTCACCTTCCTCAACAGATGGAAGGAGCCTTCACCTTCCTCAACAGATGGAAGGGGTCTTCACCTTCCTCAACAGATGGAAGGGGTCTTCACCTTCCTCAACAGATGGAAGGAGCCTTCACCTTCCTCAACAGATGGAAGG